AATTGAATGCTCCGCGCACTGTCACGTGTACCATTGGACAATTTCTGGTATATACGGAGTTGTATAGAATTGTTGGGAATATCGAAAGGGCTATTAAAAATTGGACAGGAATGCTTTCGATTAAATATTTAATTCAGTTAACCGTTTCGTCTCGAAAGTATTTAAAAGCCGGGAAAGGATATTCCGGGGTCGAATGTCAAGATTCAAGAAGGATCAAATAAGGAAACCGCGGAATTTCCAAGTCAAATTTCAGCGCCCCTGAAAATCACTGGGTGGTCGATCCCAGCGTTCATCAACCCCTAGCTGCGACAGATAACGGACGTAATTTACGATCCCTTATTACGAGATTCCGCGGACGACGTTCTCTTCCGGAACGCTTTGATAAACATGTTTGGCTCCGGCTGGAAATTACTTTGCCCCGCGGTACCCGCAGACTTTCCATTCAATTCCTTCATTACTCCACAGGTTAATTTATTTCGAGCCAATCAGGAAGATGTATCTACCGGCCGACCCCTTTGCTTCGTCCCTTCTCACATCGATCCTTCACGATCTTCCCTTAGATTTCCAACGCGGATGAAAGTAGAAGGAGGAAAAAGGTAGGTAGAAGAGGTTCGGTATTTAAATCCTCCAGTATGGTTATCGCATTATCTTCATTCAAGTCTCACCAACGGGGGAGAGATTTGACGCAAACAGATAATAATATTTGCACGTCGCCGCAAAACACACTTTTCCCTTCGTTAATTTTTACCCTTATCTGCGTGAAACGAGCAGACTCGAACCAGGGGAAGAGAGGAAGAGGAAACGGATAGAAGAAGAGAAAGAAAATCTCTAGTAATCCCCTCGGGGATAATCGACGCCGCGTTCCGCGTTTTTCCCCCCTTAATTAACGGCTCATCGCAAACGCAGAGGATTACTTTTAATTAGCTTCTCGAAGCGAGGCCAACGGAACAGAGGACGAGCGGAAGGTGAACGGATAAGTTTGTCGAACGTGCATCAACGCGCTTCACGCAATTGTACCTCGACCATCTTTTACGATTAAATTTCCCAGTCAATGTCCCTTCATCGATCTCAATTAACCCTTTCGTCACTATTGGCGCCTATAGACGTCTTGAAAATTTGCTCGCACTATACTGTTCAAGCCTTCTGATGCACTTCCGCCTTAATTTAATACTTAATTTTATCCTTTACGTACTTCCACCTTGATTCGATAAACCGAATTTTAAAACGATTCGGTGAAAATAAGAAATTTTGCGGAATTTTTGAAAAATTTACCGTCAGTCAGCCACGTTACGCGTTAAAATGTGCCGTAGCAAAGGGTTAAGGGGTTAGACTATTACTGAAGCCTGAAAATGATACCTAACTTTGGCATTTTTTTTTTTTGAGAATATAATTGACTCAATCGAAAACTTTTCAGAAGGGTTTCATTACATTACCCATAAAGAATATAAAAGTATTCTTTCATTCAATTTCTGTACAAAATGGCGGTACTACAGACGCATCGCCAAACCTCTATTTCGAATTTCAAAAAAATTCGATTTTTTTCAAATCTTCGAGCTGGTCTAACCCTTTAAACGTGTTGCTTCTTGTTTCTTTCTTTGTTTAAGCAATTTTACTCTCGAGTGAGATTATTTTACATTGTTGTTTCCTTTTCGTTGCTTCTCTGATATTATCTTCCTCTTTTCACTATCTCGACGGTAACAAATCTCGTACCAGGACAAATGCATTAGTGGAAATTTACGCATCGTAGGTTTTTAGCTTTCTTTAGAAGTACTTTTTCCCTATTCATGCTTATTCCACTATAGTCGGCACGGAAGAGAATGCGTCATAAGAGAATGTAGCATTACTGCACGGAGTCTTTTCAAGTCAGTTATTCTTTGAAGTTTCTCCCTTATTCCGCGAATATATTCCACCTTTACCGATTGTTAACAAACGAACGGCGATTCCTGGTGCGTCGCAAAGGGCAGAAAATGTTGCAACAATGTCCTCTGGTACGTATTCGTGAATTGGATGAAAAGAACGGGCCATATTCAAAGGGAGCAAGCTTGCAGAAACTTCTTTTACCGGGAATTTTAATATTGAACGTTTCAATGGACTTCAAATTCGCGGAATATCGAACGGCACTTCTTATTTATCGAACAGATAGGCCATAATCAATTTCCGCGGAAGGCGGTCCGTTGCAATGTTCGATAAAGTATAATGGATAGAACCGTTACGCGAAATGTTCCAGCGTTCCGCGAGCTAGCTCAGTTCGATTCATTTCGGCGAAAACAACGCGCGCATTTGATGCATCTGCTGCATGAATGCGACAAAATTCCCGATAAAAGGTGTCGTCTGAATGGCCGCGTTTCGCGGAACCAGCCGCGTTCGCCACAATCCCGTAAACACTCATGGACGGCCGCTTTGTTGCTTAATAATCGGGGGGGAAAAATCCAAAATTCTCGTGGAAAAAATTTCATTCTTATGAGAGTGCTTTGCAAAAGGAACGATGAGAGCTTCGGATGCTTCAACGAGTAACGGAACGAGTACGAATAGAAGAAAGAAGAAGGCACAGGCACAGGTTCCTCCAAAAGATGCTAGAACCTGTCCTGTTCACGGCGATGCAGGATAGTATAGTAGTATAGTAAGTCTATTATCCTTTTTCAAAGGTAATTCAATACCACTGACTCACGTTGAAATTATGATTCGAGCTACGCTCGAAGAAGATCAACTTTTTTCTGTTTCGGTATTATTTTAATTGAAATGTGGTGCAAGTATTGTAGATGTTGAATAATTTAGTGCTGGTTGAATCGTAACTGTTTTCGATGGTAGTTGGAACGTAACTCGTCTTGGGACGCTGGATCCGAGACGTTTATAATTTTCTAATAATTTTGATTGCTTAACCCTTGAACAGCGAATTGCGTGATAGTCGCACGCACGGCGGATACCGGGTCAAATATGACCCAATATTAAAATATTTTCCGTACGCAAGCAAAATAATATTTTTTAAAGTTTACTAGGCATTATGTTGTTTAAAATTGTACAAACACATTATGAGTAATATAACAAACATATTTATAATATCTCTGTTTCGTATGCCAGTTGAAACAAGAGACATCTGAAAGCTGGGTCAGCCATGACCCGGCATCCGCCGTCCGAAGGTTACCCCTTTGCACTCGGAGGTGATTTTGCTGTAGGAAAGGTTGCAAATCGGAATTCTTTGAAATATTTTTAGACTAACGTAGAAATACACTGTGCTATTTTATTTCGATATTTAACGCATTCTCCGTTTCACTATGGTTAATTTTACGGAGGACCATAGACCTGCTGTCTGTCTCGATTAATTATTTACCGAGTGACAACTATTTAGCGTCGCTTCTCAGTCGTCACTCGATTGCAAAGAGGTAATTAGTAGCAGTAAAGGTGGAAGATGAACAAGTCTAGTGGTAGATCAGAGCGCGTTGGTAACAGTGATGTTGCGAAAATTGAAGGAAGAAGGCAAGAGCTTAGTTCTTTCTCCAAACTAACGTGTCCTTGTAACAGCTATCTGAATCAAGGGTTCGTCAATTATTCGTCAGCTGACCTTCCGTTGAAAGTGCCGTTTCGAGGTACGTTAACGGGACCTTGCTGAATTTGTATTTGTCTTGAATTTTTCAAGACAAAGCGCAAAGACATTGGAATAGAAGACAGTACGGCGAACTGTTCGCTAAATTTATCGTTCGCCAGAGGGTTAATTGGCGAGGGCAAATTGAACGTGATTAAAGAAAACAGGATGTGGGTAGACTCAGAATCTCAACGGTGGAGAAAGTTAAACACGGAGTGGAAATTAGGGTGCGCAGAAAGTAGATTGAACGCGCGCTCAGCTAAAAGTGCCCTGTTCTCTAATTGTCTTTTGGATAAAGGCTTTCGATGTACGGGAACGGGTGGCCCTCTTATTTTCTTGGCACCGCGTTTGAATTTCTTCCTTTTCTTTTTCCCCCGCTTTTCACCGTCCTAAACGTTCACGGTATTATTGGTCACGGATCTTCCTTCAGCCGCGTCTAGCGACCATAACCGAGGATCATAAACCGCGGTAAAGCGGTAGAAATATATTCCTCTGCTGGTCGTAAATCTTAAGCTGATCTCAGTTTCGACGCTTGGATCTTCGGATTATCGCGAAAAGACGAAGTCAATTATAGAACGTAAATTTTTTAAACCGCTGTCGTTCGAGGAGTTTATGGTAATTGTTTTACCATTTCTGACGTGTGCCGCAAATCCTTAAGAAACCGTTTGAAGAGATTGTTCCTTTGTTCTGTTTCACTTCTACTGTGCACACTGAGCAATCGTAACATTTTCAGAATTTTTCCTGAAATATTTTTCTACACAAAACTGTCATATTCAAGCGACATTTTGTGTCGAAAACGCTATATAAAAGAACCCTCTTCACTCGAAAGTTTTATTCAACTACCTCGCGCAAAATTAAGTCGGCGCACGAGTAACGCTTAGGAATTAGTCAAGTACCACGAAAAAATACCTGTTAACAATCATTATAATGCAGATTTACTCCGTAGTATAATACTTTGATCGTTCATCGAAATTAATTGAATAAGCAAAGAAGGTGAACAATTTTTTGGAATTTCGAGACAATAACACTAGAACGACCAGCCGATTCATAATGACACGTTAGCAACTTCTCAAAAAAAGTAAATGTTCGATACTGGTAAATATTGACTTATTTAATAAATAAGACTGTATATTATTTTCTGTATATACACTTCTAATGAATTTACATTCGCAATCACATTTTCGTTACGTAAAAATTCACTGTTAGAAAGTCGCTAATGGGACATGTTCATCCGGCTGGTAGTTCTAGTGTTAAGCTAAAGCTGAACTCCTCTATCGATCCTCCACGGGAATAAAACGAATCGTGTTACTCGGTTGACCGATCGACCGATTCTCCTAACTGCTTTTCCTTCAAGTAGAAACTCCATCACGAACTGTCGCTGATCCCCCGAAACAATTAATCTCGCTAGCAGCTCTCTTACCTTCAGGCTGGTGGGGCGTATAGATGTTCAGGTAGAGACAATCTTCACTCTGGTTTCTCAGATATGGCAACAACCTCTCCAAGTACTCGTACCTGACTGGTTTCACCTCGTCTCGTAGCTTTGGTACCACTTGCGGGCACACTGGTGCAAATTCTTGCGATTGTCTCACGCCACGCCATGGTTCCGGTGATCTCGGAGGGGAAAATCTTAAGGACCCAACTGGAGGTTCCGCGTACGGCACTCCTGCAACATTTAGAGACAAGACTTCGTGATCTGCGTCTAGTAATTGGCCGCTTTGTGAAGTCTAATTTGGTTACAATCGAACAAGAGTGGAGTTTTCGAAATTTCCTAGGACTTCGAGGCTAATTGCTTCTACATAGTCTTCCGCTTTTCGAGTATTCTTGAGGGTTAGGTGAAATAGGGTTCATGCTAAGAGGATTGTGAAGAGAGTACGGTGGTTGGTTACAGAAGGAGGAAATAAATACAGAGAGGATAGGTGGAGAAGGTAAGAGAAACAAAGGTGCATTTCGTCCTGGGCCTCCTAGTGAATTCGTCAGTTAGGCTACCTAGAAGTCTTACAATTAGACGCTGGGCCATGCAAAGCAGGCCATCTAATTGTCTTCTCTAGGTATGGTGATACGAGAACATTTGTATACATAATTTAAATAGTTTCAAAGGGTAAATAACATGGAAGAAAAATTTTTTTGATGAAAGAAATTGCAGAAAACGAAAGCAAATTTTACATGTAATTAAAAATTTGAGAATCCAAGGTCATTTTAAGATCACATTATTGTACATTTAGAAAAAATATTTATACATTTATGCAAAAGAAAAACATAGGTGACCTTGAAAAAAAACAGAAACAATGGCATTTATTGAAAAAAATTTTCTTCCATCCTATTCACCCTTTGAAACCACTTAAATTACACGTAGAAATTTTCTCGTACCACACCAGCTAAAGAAAGTAAATAGGTGGCCTGTTTTATGTGGCCCATTTTGTATACAGAGTGGTTGATAGGTTCAGTGGTTGATTTAGTACACATAAATAACGAAAAAAGGTTTATAATATAAACGTTTGTCCTGTCTGACCTCATTTCCGTGTTACAGTCGTTCTTCTGCTGTACCAGATGTTCACTTGTCTTCGCAGAAATTGCTTGAAGTGATCACCTTCGGCTCGAATACAAGCCTCTAGACGCCTTATCATTGACCTTCTGACCCATTCAAAATTGCCACGTAAAATATCAAGCGTTGCTTATAAACGATTGAATGAAGAGTTCAGTTTGTCAGAAGAATTATCGGAAAACAGAAACGGCTGCAACTCGGAAACAAGGTCAGATAAGACAAACGTTTGAACGAACTTTTGTCGCTATTTATGCGTGCTGAATCCACCACTGAAATTGTGCCTACACGGTGCACTGTGTACAGTAATAAGAGCGTTGACAAGAACTAGTGAGAAAGGATAACATCAGTCCATCCCTCTAACGCTGAAGAGTTGTCGAGGTACAAGGGCTTAAATGGAATATTTGCAAGATGTATTTCTATCGACTATCAAAGGATATCGGTGAACGTATTACACGTACAAGACTCGGGGAACGGTTCGAAAGAATTCAAAGCCCAGGTAAAATAGACGAAAACGCGTTTACACCGGGAACAACTCGCGAAAATCCCTATTCGAGGCCGAAGGACCAATGTTCCAAGTGATCCTCAGCGTGAAAATCGTCGTGGCGAGGCAATCACCGTAAAGTTTTATTGCGCCGCGAGCGGATCGATTAAATTGATCGCGCTCGTCCGGCGTTCGGTGTGCTAACACGCTCCAGCTTGGCGGCAAGGATCACGGCCGATCCATTTTATCCCATTCCCGGGTAAATTGGATTCCCAGGCCGGCGGCTTTTCTACGTAAAATATTAAATCGCCGAGCCACGGCCGAGGTACAAATCGAAAAGCCTGATTGCGAACGTCTTGGATTAAGAAACGGCTTGCTCGGTCTCGTGAAAATTCCAACAACCGCGAGAATCATCGGCGTTTAGCCTAAAAGTTCTTGCGGTAAGTACATGTAGCATGAAATTCTGCAAATTCAATTGATAACAGAGGGAGGGGGTGGATGTAGAAGTTTCGAAGTAATACTTAGTCTACGGGGATATCTGCACATTCCTTCATTAAGTTCGGTTCCACGAGTTAATACGGCGGGAGTTCCATCAACTAATTAAGTTTGTTCTTATAATACCGAAGTAGCCATGTACGCTGCAACTTTCGCAACGTAGTAACTTGCAAGCTTCGAAGCTGCCTGATGAGTGTATTAAAATGTAATATGTTCACCGATTACACAAGGCAGCGTGTCGTTCTATAGTTTTAAACATTCCTGAAACATCTCATTACCGTGGCACATGCTGGCGGAAAGTGTACAGTATGCTATCGTGCAATATTCCATGGATTCTTTGATAAGCACACCTTCCTGCCCCAATATTGATCACGATGAATTAAATTGCGTCGAATAATTCATTAATTCGACACGTGTCAACAATCAAGCTCTCCGAAAACTCAAACTCCTACTCTACAAATCCATCATCCGCCCCGTCCTCACGTACGCCTCCCCTGTATGGCACACGACGGCACACACACACATGAACAAAATCCAGATTACGCAAAACAAATGCCTCCGAATCGCCGCCAAAATCTCCAGACGCACACTAATCACCGAAATACACCGCACCTTAAACATTCCATTAATAGCAGCTCACATACAGAACCTCAATATCAATCTAAACAATAAACTGGCCAACCACCCAAACCCACTATTAAGAACCGTCACGACCAACACAGCACCTACCTGGGGTTGCCGCTCAGCCCCCAATAAACGCACACAGGCCACGCATACCCCTGCTACCCGGCCCAACTGAAAAGGGCACTTATAATGTACATACGCAACCATTGCGTGCCCACCCGTTAATACAAGACAAACTGCAAATATACCATAATGTAAATAACTTGTAAATACAAACTAACCCCACTAACATAGAATAAGCCCCAACTAACCACCAACTAACCCGCCCCCCTAGCCTAAGTGACTTTCCAACCCCCAAGCTACTGGGTTTTTATATAGTAAATTTTCCCCTTCCACACACTGCACACTAATCAAAAAGAACATCATGTCCTGAAAAGCACAGACAAACCCCCCGCCTAGCGCCAGATGCCTCCGGGCAGGCAGCGCACCGCTACACCCAAGATAAATATTGTATATAACATAATTAATTACAATATGTACTTCATTTAAGTAAATAATAAAGTTAATAATAATAATAATAAAATAGTTGGTGTAATGCGCCAAGCCCCGGCTTGCTAAGCCGAAGGTCCCGGGTTCGATTCCCGTTGGGTACCTCGAGAAATTTTTCCGTCGGTTCCTACAGTATTATTATTAATAATAACTGCTGTAGTTATAAGTAACTCGATTAATACCAAATCGAAACGCGAAAACGCCAAGCAACCACCACAGGTGTAAGAACGGGCGAAGTTGAGAAAAACTCCAAGAGCCTCGACTCTAGGCCCTTTTTCTAAAGAAGCTACCAAAATCCCTATAAAAAACCATATACCCACACAAAGTCAGCGGATACACTTAATCAGTACAGTTGGAACGACGCCCCGCTCAACCTAAACATTTAATAAAACATCAACCACATTTCTGGATTCTACTCATTTGACAACCCGAGACGAAAGCGATCTCGACCATTACGGCACGTTCAGTAACAGTAATTTTTGCCAATTTTTGTAGCGACCCTCCTACGCTCTGCCACCAGAGAGACGGACTAACCACAAGTTCTCGCTAGTCCTCATACAACTTCTGAGCTGAGTCCTTCCAGTCCCTCCCGCGTCTAAAGCACGGGTCTCCTAGAAAGCCTTACCGTGACGAGTCCGCTAGGAGGCCCAGGACGAAGCGCCCTAACCTTTCCTTTTCCGCCGATCATCTCTATCAAATTTCCTACATTAGCCTCATTTTTATAAATATTTCACATAGCTAATTGAACTGTTCCGCGTCGTAAAATCTTCTTGGACGTCGCGTTCTAAAAAATGTCAATCATTGAAATGATATTTATTCCAACCAAGAGACCCCATGAATCTTCACCTGTGTCCAATTTATCCTAGCCTCTCGGCCACTCGACCGCTACTCGAAAGCGGAACAATTTGAACGCGTGGAAACGCTCGCGTTCCCTCTGCCAAGGAATGTCAGGGGCTCTCGGGGAACTCGAGAAAGTGGAGGGACGCGCGCGCTCGATTCTGCCACGCTTCTGGCGAGCGTGGACGTGCGCACGCGACCAGGAACCGCCACGATTGCGGGGAGAGCGTCTATTCCCGAAATAGCTGGCGCGCTCCTCGTTTTGGAACCTTTGACGTATCGGGATCCTCGAAGCGCGGGTACATCGCGGCTAATGCTACGAACAGAGAGAAAGAGAGGGAGACGAGCTGATGCAGCTGCGAGGAAACTTTCCCTAGCTGACCGAACTTCGCCGTATCGGCAACCGGAAACTGGAAATCGCGTCTCTCTCTCTCGCTCTCTTCATCGTCTGGCAGGCTTCGATCCGACGGAGGCCGCATGATTGGGCCTGAAACTGCGAAACTTCCTACGTTACGCTAAACGATGACTGTGAACGGATTTCAATAGCCCCGATTGACTCTTCGACGAAAGAGAGCTCATTTTTATGGACCCTTGAATTTTCTGGTTTTAGAAGGATAGGACCTTTTACGAAAATTGAGTATCTTTTTAAAGAATTCTTTTTTTGATGGAATAGCAAATGGAATTTGATAGATCTTTCTTGATCGATGAAAACTGAAAGACAAATTCATGATGTATGTACAGTCAGTGAAAAAAGTCTCAGTGTTAGAATTTGTTTATCGTGGTATAATTTCAATAGAAATGGTAGTAAATAAAAAATATTCGTGTTATCTTATTTAGGAATATAAAACTTACTATTAGTACGAAGAAAAATAATTTACACTCATTTGTAAAACAATTAACACTAGAATGACCGGCTGGGTCAAAATTGACTCATTAGCAACTTCAAAGAAAATTAATGTTCGATACTGATAAGTAGGCCGCGGATTTTTACGCATTTATAGGAAATTTAAAGGGCTATATTGCACAGAATGCACGTAATACGAAAACATATACAAAATATCCAAATTATAGTGCCTTTTATAATACCTTGTAAGTGAAATAATTTCCTACCGAAGTTCCACTTTTTTTACTATATTCCCAAAAATATAAATTTGCATAAAAATCCGCAGTCTACTGACAAGTATTATCCTTTGTAACTTTCCGATTTTATTTTCTGCGTGTATACTTCTATATGTATCGATATGTAGCTAACTTTTCAATCACATTTTAGTTACATAAAAGTTCACTTTTCGAAAATGTCATCTTGGCCCAGGTGGTCGTTCTAGTGTAACGGAAAAAAATACAGATATTTTCCATTTTGTGAAAATATTTCGAGTAACGTCTTTCTACTTGCTTGCAAACAAGAAACTGACATGTATTTGCCTTTGAAATATTCTTCGAGTCTTCGCTGTAAACATTCTGCTGAATTCTTAGATACTGTATGGAAACTTTTCTGATCTCACTTCTGTTGCACAATTCTTTTTCATTAGCTTAATCAATCGAGAAATGAATGTAAACCATTATCTTTGAACCAATAGAAAATGTTAATTTTTCTAAATAAAATAACGTAAATATCATTTACGCAATACCTTCTCCGTTACAATTACAAAGCGATGTGTTAAAATACAAAGCCTAATTAGATATTTTCGAAATTTTCCGTGAAATATCAGACCAACGAAATTTAAGTTTTACCTTTCAAACCGACTACGCCAAACAAGAAACCATCGATCCAATCTCGCTTCTAACAATAACCATTGTTACCGCAACATACACAGCAATGTTTACAAACTCTACACAATTCCCGAGTAGATTTTTGTCCCCCGGTGCAAATCAAATAGCGGTAATTGGATTTAAAATATTACCCGTGTTTCGGTGCAAATATTAACCGTTCAAACATCACGCATATTTGCACATTGTTATCGATACCAAATTAATTTACACTCCTCCGCAGTCCACAGTAAGCGCATATGTATAAATTTCATTAACAATCATAAAACTCACCCAGAAATACGTCCACAGGCTGCAGATCGTGATTAGTTCTCGGTTGCACGACGAAACCACGCAAACGACCCTGTTTCACGCGAACGTCCCTGGTTACACGTTCCGTAGGATCGTGGAATCTCGAATGATAACCGTACTGTGCTCTCGACTCGAAGAAATCACGGTGCTCGGTGAGAATCTGGGTGCAGGCCAGCAACACCAGGACCAGCAGCTCCAATCGCAGCATCCTCGACATTTGTTCGATCGTTGGAAGGCAGGAAGGCGCGACGATGAATTTTCCTCTGGCCCACCTTCGAGCCTGACTGCCTTTCAAACGAGTCACAAGCCCAGAAACCGGTCCACCGGGGTAAAAATAATTTCTCAACGGTCCCTCTGCTTCCGTTCTTCCACCGGATGCGAGGGGAAGCTCTCGCAAAGGTTGTCGCGAGCTTGGACTTTCTCGAGGATCTAGGTGTCCACGTTGCTTGTTTGGAGACGCCACGAAGCTGTGCCAAGATCGGAGAAACTCGGCTTTGGCACCACGTGCACGCGTGCCTCACATTTTTGCTCGTCGAGCTGGATTTTAATGACGACGGTGTTGGTGCATTTCGTACCATTTACTCAGCCAGCTAAAATACACCAATTTTTCTTTATTCTTGCAAATCTCTAAAGCGACTGGTCCATTTAATCGTTGAAAATAACTCGATCGTGTCAATGGTCTTCGTCGATGTTTTAGGATTTTGTTTTATTAAAATGTTTCGAAACTTCAATTGCAACAGCACCGAATTCGCACGGAATTCCACGACATTGTACACACACGGTGAATATTCTCCGCGGAGAAAATAAATTAGAGAGCACAGACTCTCCAGTTCCAACAGTTCAAGGCGACTTTCTTTTATGGTCGCGCGGCCTGCTTTAAATATAGTTGACAGGCTCCGAAACAGCGGCGGTTTCGGTTTCGCCGGCTACGTCGCGCGGCCTGCCACCGATTACAAGGCAAGAAAAGGCACTCCACGCTGTCCTCCAGCGGGGATATTCTTGGGTCGAACAAGGGTGAACGCACGTACACGCCGAAAGTGGGAGAGAGAAGCTCCGAAAGTGCTCTATTTTCGACCCAAATAGAACAGCTTCTGCTGTTGGTAAACTTCGCGTACGTTCGCGATTCCCTCCTCTCGAGAATCTACGTGTCTCTCTCTCCTTCGAGGAGGAGATTTTATGATTTATGTGAATGTCGTTCGAAGTTGATACTCTCTTTGCAACGATGCTTCTTTCAGTCGAAGATACGTGAAAACGTTTGCGAGAAATAAAGAATCGAGGGATATCTACGCGGAGACGAAAATTTTTCACGTGTCAATCGTAAAATACAATCTTTGGAAAACCCTCTTGAAGCACTGAAAATCTGTCCTAATCGATTAAAATTCACGGAAACAAGTTAGAAAGGATAGCGCAAAAATTTCTCGAAAATCGAAACCGTCTCCTCAAGTGGAAACGATTAACGTGACGCATTAATTACTAAACGGCGAAGAAAAATAAGAGTGACGTGTTGTAGACTTGAAAAACGAGGCACGAGCAAAAAGGCGGGGAAAGAGGGACAGGGGTGGAACGAGCTTTAGAGGGGAAAAGGTTTCAATTTAGCCTATTCACCGGCGTGAAAATCATTCGGCGAAATTTACAGGAAAAAAACGCGGCACGCGTACACGCCTGCAAACCAGATTATCCAGCGTGAAATGAAACCTGAGGGTAGGAAGGGCGGTGAGAGGGGACTGGAGCCGTTTTAACGCGCGCTTAAAAGCAGTCAATAGTGTTAAATTATGAATACCCGTAATTTGCATCGCGGCTGATCGTCGACCGAATAACACGCCCCCTTTTCTTCTCTCACCTTTAACTTTTTCCCTCTTTCTCTTCTCTCCCTTTTTTTCTTTTTTTTAACAGCCACCAAGTAACGCGGCTACGTGACACGTTTACCGACAATTCCTAACGCGATTTGTAGCCTCGAACACGGAGCCAGCGATTTCTCGAGACGAAGGGAAATTGAATCGTGAAAACACCTGAATCCGCGCAAAAGTTCCCCCTTTTGATGAGAAGGCGAGCTGAGTCTGATGCCATTAGAGTAGATAGATTCGCGATGGGTACGAACTGGCTTTTGATTTGCCAACTGATTTCTGAGAATGGCGATGAACGTTTAAGGAGAGGATCGACGCGAAGCCGAAAGGAACGAGAATGTTCGACGGAGGTCTAAGACGACGATTACGGCGATTAGGGGCGTATGAGAGAAAGCAAAGGTTAGTTTCGCGGAGGATGTTGAACTTTTGGCTGTCCTTGCGGGCCTCGAGATGCGCGGATATTCTTGGACCACGCTGTACCGGCACTTTCGGGTGTTTCTTGAACCGTGGCACGGAGGAATTACAAATCCACGCGGATACTTGCGGCGAACAACGATAAATTACAGGAGATATTCTAGACGTCTTATATATTCCATAAAATACAGTTCTACAAAGGGTTCAATTGTAAAATTTAAGGAAGAAAAAAAATAACGTGTACGTTCACCCAAGTTTCTATTCCAAAAATGCACAGGAATATCACGAAGTTTTCTAACGAATAGGTGTATGCATGAAAAGTAATCACTTTGAACGGTCCACTTTACCTATACTGTTGTAAATCACTGTCACGAGCACTGAAAAAAAAAAAGGATAGATAGTTAAAACATTTTCATTGAGGTTTCCTTCTCCGTGGCACTTTATTTTCGTTTCTTCAGAGTTGTCACGCGGAAACGTCGAGTATACGTCGAGAACGCAAATTTTGCGTACACTTCGCCTCGATGAAACTCGCGAGTGGACTGAGTTCGTAAGTGCTAAAATTAAATCGAGAACGCGTCGAAGGAAGAAGCGCCGCCGGACGGCAGCTTTACAAGCTGAAACTTTTATATTCGGGTGAACGTTTCGCGATTTCATGCGAACTTTCCTTCCCCGAGTTTACCCTCGTTTTGAGAAAAAAAGGAGAAAGGAAAATTTTTTTATAACGAGAATTTTCCGAGGCTCGAACACCTTTGACGCTTTTCTTTTTTTTTTTGAAGAAGAAGAAGAACGATTTCATTTGACCCAATAGGCTGAAGAGATTCCTTCATTTCTGTAATACTAGCTGGCAAGTATTGTGTAACGCGAACTTCAAACTCTTTGTCCTTAATAGAATTAGCATACAGGAAATGTACGCACTAAATGGAGGACCGTGTGTTTATCGAGATTAGGATAATTGAATTGCCCTCGTGAAATCATGTAACTGTTGGAAGATTAAACAGCTTCTTAGACGCCTTCGCCGTCTGATCTAATCAAATATTAAATTAAATCATAAGTAAATTCTAATATTGTTGGGTTGGTGCATAAGAAACGTCGTTTTTTTTTTTAATGAAATATTAGATATAATACATTGTTCTTCTTCAAAAAATAGTGTGTTTAATCGAAATAATTTCCACGTGATTCTATACACTTTTCCTAACGGTTAATTAATTTCGTTATTTCCAATTTATAAAAATAATTAGTCTTTGAATTAAAAAATTCTTTAAATGCTGCTTCACAGTGTCCTCATTTCGAAATAATTTATTTGTTAAAAAATTGCTCGGCTGTTTGAAGAAATGGTAGTCTGTTGAAGAGAGAGTTGGGTGGATGTGGCAAAATTCTATATTCTTTACCGTGGATATTTTTCAGTCATTTGTCTTGAAATGAAAATTTACCATTCTTGAATTTTGGATACCAACGTTGAAGTGTCTTAACATTTACGTGACCTTCTTCAAATGGTAAATTTATATTTTCAGCAGTTTTTAACGCACCTTTTCCAAGTTTAAGTTTATGTAAAAAAATTACACGCATATTCCGATTATTCGTCACGCGAGATAATAATATCCAAACAATTATATTAAGAATTTTTGTAATATTCCATACACGTGTACTGCAGTAAATTCCTTCTTCTTGATTATTGTGTATAATCATTTATGTTTGGACAAAATTTAATATATGGTATCAGCCCGCTGATTCTGATATAACTTCTATAGCTTTTAAACTAAGAAAAAATGGTGAGTGGTAAAAAATCATCGACATTAATAACAATTGCACTTTAACAATTTTTCGCAGGCACAGAAATTCGAAAAACAAGCACACTCATTATTAACAATATTTAATTAAACGGGTACTCTCGTTTAATCAAGAAATTATGCAGCGTAGAAAGATTATTCTAACAAGGTAGAGAGTTTGAAACGCTTCGACGTGGATGACTCGATAAATATCACAGGGAGCTCGTGAACGGAGATTAGAAAAGTTCGTCGGCGAATTACTTTACACGTACACAGGCCGGGCCACTGTTCCCTACATGTAACGACGTGTTAAAGCAACGATAAGAAGGCTTTGAGAAGCGTCCTCGAGGCACGAGGCGTTCCCCGATGAGTGGCTCCTCTTCAGGAACGTCTCATTCACGTTAATGAACTTACTTCGCGCAGAGGACGCGCAAGACCAACGGAAGTGCATGACCCCCCTCCACGGAGACAAAGGTTTCCGGTGAGTTTCACCGAACGCTTCGTAAAAATCTTACCAACGCTCTGTGAAAACAGTCGATCGTTCTTCTTATCGAGATCCCTTAACTACGGGTCGTTTCGTTAATGAAAATGATAATTTATGGTTGATTCACAATTTTATTTAGCAGTTTCAGCAACCGAAAATTTGAGAATATCTGTCGAGCAGTAAGTTTTATCATATCGACGTGCGTTACGAAATGTAGCACGCTTCATTTATCTTACGAAAAGCAGCACGCGTGTCTTCATTATAAACGGGAAAAAATCACGTTTCGTTTTTCGTCGCGAAAAGTAGCGCATTTGAATAGTTCGTACTTCGCTGTGACAAATAACACGTTCCAGTGATTTGCAACGAAAAGAAGCGCATTTGAATGGTTGGCTACGCAAAAGAGTACGTTTATCTTTAGACCGCAGCAACAGACAAGTTTTGATTTTTTTTTTTTGGACCATGTAAGTCAGATACGATCGGAATCTGATCTAATTAGAATTTTGTCACGATCTGATCATAACGTACAGTATTGTAGGAATAGTATTAGGTTTCTGTACATGAGATTTAAAGACGTGTAGTTTTGCTTGGAATGAATTTATTTAACCGAAATAATTTCCATTAGATTCTATACACTTTTTCCAACGTTTTGCAAGAGTTCCTATTCCATTACAATAAAAATCAGGAGTTCTAGAATTAATAAATTCCACGA